TAGTTACCCTGGACAACATGATATTCAGCATCTAAAATACTAACATGAGCAAGTAAACAATACTGTCCAGTAAATCTCAAAGGATACCCCCTTATTCTACTAAACCTTCATTAAATACCATTATGAATAGGTGAGTATTTGACATATTTACAGATTTAAAAGATTGATTTACATGGAATGTTCAGAGAATTGCACTGTACATGTTGGAAACTTACACAATAAGTCAAAGGCTGTATTATGTAATGTTAACAACAACTTACTTGTTACAACAATGCTTGATGTGTTAACTGGAAGGGAGAAGTTGGAATTGTTGTTTGCTGCCTCCACCAGAACATTTGCCACAGCACTAGTTTCTGGCACTGAGCTGGCATTTTTGAACTGAAGCACAGCATTTACCACAACTGATCCTGGACTGTAAGAAAAAAAACATTATCATGGTTATTTTCGACCAGTAACTGAATATACATAAATGGGTGATGCATCTCTATCCCCTGTGCCAAAATATCCCTCTAATAGGTGCTGCCATCTGTGTTGGTGATGTAATTTGGAGCCTGAGTCTGTGTAGTCATCAGAAAGTGGAGCCATGGTGTCGAGATTTCGACAATATACCCACCCAACGAAAAGTCAATGTCAGCTGTAAATGATATATTTTACTTAAAAAAATAATTTAAACCAGAATTTTGAGCACTTGATTATACATGTTTTATAAGGATTACCCTAAATGTCAGAGGCCACCTTTGGGAAAAATTGTATTGATCTTTTTTTGCATTTGGCCTATGTCCAATATGTCAACATGGACAGAGCTTATGAATTTCTACAGTTCCATGCAAACAGCTTTAGTGAAACACGTAMTATTTTCTTCTTCAGATGTTAAATAAAGTGTGATGTCATTTACCTGAAAGAGATGATCTGAGTTCTGACGAAGTTGTCTCCATATTGCTTCAAATAGACAGCGTCAAGCTGGGGAAATAAAATTGACAAACAGTAAGATTTCCAAAAACAGAAGAGGTGGAAGAGGGTTGCAATTACATAACCATTGCCTCATTTTGGTTATTTTTTCTCCATTTTTATTTCAAAGCTGGATCATCTCTGTCTCCAATATTAATTTGTAGTAGGAGTAATGTAGTAGGAGTAATGTATCCAAACATTCACTGATCTACCAAATTTTTGCTTCTAGTTTTTTTTCATTTACAACTAACTCAATAGGGTAACAAGCTCATAAGTGCTGCATGAGTGGTTCTTGTTCCTGCTCTGCCATAACTTACCTTCTTCTATGAAAACGTAGCTCGATTGGAGTTACTGAGATCAAACTGTTTTTTTGTGATGGATGAAACTTTAACAACCACAGTTATGGTGTTGCATAATATAAACATTTACTTTGCTGGGATAAAATCCTTCACTTGAAATGTTTTCTTCAATAATTCACATTGATAACATACAGTATTTTATTCAGTATGTACCAAAGTGATAAAGTCATTTTATTGTACTTACTGATGTTGTTATTTGGTTTTCTAATGTCTTGTACTCTTCAGAGGATTTGTTTGTAAGTTGTGATGTGAAGTTTTTCATCAACGCAAATGTCATGGCAACTTTTTCTTCTTCATGTGCTACCACTGTTGTGACAGCAGGTTGTGCTGATGTTCCAGATGTTGGTGTCGAGGTTTCATTGCCTAGAAATACATTAAATATTAGTTTCCATGAAATCTTACAACTTAACAAATATATAAACTACATTTTGCAACAATGCATTTCTTGATGCTGATATTCTTTCACATAAACAAGGTTTGTTGGCTGAGAAGCATGAACTTTTAGAGATATTGACAGGGGAAACTACAATACCAGGAAGTGACATGGGGGAGATCGGTGGTGAAGTTGAATTAAGTGGTGGTGTCATGTTGACCAGTGGTGTTGTCATGGGAAGTGGTGATGAGGTCATGTTGACTGGTGATGAAGTCATGTTGACCGGTGGAGTGGTCATGTATACTTGTGATGAGGTCATGTTGACTGGTGATGAAGTCATGTTGACCGGTGGAGGGGTACCTTCGGGGCACAGTGCAGTACAACTGATCAGCTGACAACAATTACATCTTATTCATCATGAGTCTACACACTTTGTAATTTGTCATGCATGGTGCACATGGTTCACAGAAAAAAAGAAAAGATCTGTTAAAGTGATGCTAACTTTGTAGTGTCAACTGTAAGTAAAACAAAAAATAAAAAGGAAACTCAATTGTAAAAGTGGCAGTCGCAGTGCAGCAGCAGACATGCTGATGGTGTGATATACATATATCAGAAGGAAACAATGCATTGGCTGCTTTGGCCCATTGCCACATTATATCATATAAGTGTGAAATCATTTGCTTTACTTGACATTGTCATGGTCTGTTCTCTACAGCAACATAATCTGTGTTTAGTACATGTTTGGTTCATATTTTGCTATGCATCATTTTCCTCTATCAATCACCCACACAGGAAATAATACCTTATTCATTAAGTTTCTGATGTGTCAATCAGCATTCTGCCAGCATTTCTATCTTTAGTTTGAGTTTACAGATCAAAACAGCTAACAGCTAAACTAACCAATCAGATCACTGGAAAGACAGTCATCATTCAACAGAGATAAAATAATTTACAGTAAAGTGACACTAATAAAGAGCAATATAAATTTTAAAAGTTAAATGGAATTGGAAAAGCCCCCAACAGATGGAGGGAAAGTTTGTCACGCTAAATACATGCAAATAGATATTATGGCTTTGTTTTACTGAGGTCATTTTAACTTGTGGTAAAGTTATGTTCCGTGAAAGTGGAACATAACTTTCAAATCTACTCTCAGTGAATTCATGTTGACTTGTAGGTTAGTGATGTTGACTAGTGATGTTGACTTGTAGGGTAGTGATGTTGACTTGCAGTGTGGTCATGCTGACAGGTGATAAGGTCATTTCATGTAACTGATTTTAAGGCAATGTTAACTCGTGATGAGGTTGTGTTTACTGTTTGTCATGTTGGGTATAAACGTAGTGAGGGAATGTTCACTAGGGTTGGAGCAATGTGAAGTGATGGTGAAGTAATGTTAACTGGTGTTTGCATCCACTGGTGGGGATACTGCAGTAATTGGTGCTGAGGGGATTTTGACTGGTTTTATGATTGTGTTAGTAAGTTATTGGGTTGCATTGTTTGTTTGTTAAAAAAATATATATCAATGCTTGGTGAGTGTTTTTTACCTGTTGCATAAGCTGATGGAGATATTGAAGTTAGATTGAGTGGTAGTGAAGTTGCATGTCCTGTAGATAAGATTACAGTCCTTGTTGGCGAGGTTGGTGGTGTCAAGTTCAGTGGTGCTTTGGTCTTGTTGACTGGCATTGAGGTTATGTTAACTGATGCTGAAATCATATTAACTGGTGGTGAGCTTGCAATTAAGTGTGCTGAGGCTATGTTGACTGGTGGTGAGGTTAATGAGGTCACATGGAGTGGTTGTAAAGCAATGCTGACAGGTGTTGACATCTGGTTGACTGGTGCTGTGATCATATCCACTTGTAATGAGGTTGGTTTTACAAGCAGTGAAGTCAAGTTCCCTGGTATCGAGGAAATGTTGACTGGTAGTGACATTACACTGAGTGGTTGTATGGTCATATTGACAGGTGTGTCAGATATCAATCTGAATGGCTTTGAGGGTATGTTGAATGGTGGTGTGGTAAAAGCAACCCGTGACAAGGTCATCTTGATATTGGCAGATGTCAAGTTGACTGTTGCTGTTGTGACAGTGATTGATGGTGATGTTGGTTTTTCAAGGGGTGAGGTCATGTTGACTGTTGGTGACATCATGTTACCTGGGGATGAGGTTGTGTTTGCAGATGGTTTTACTGTCGTATAAACCTTTGCTGAAGTTGCATTTACTAATGGGGAAATCAAATAAATGGATGTTGCAGTCGCATTACTTGCAGATGAGGTTACAGTCTTTGGTTGTGAGGTTGTATTGACTGATGCTGGGATTGTTGTGAAATTTGATGGCTTTGGCATTCCATCAAACAGTGAAGAGGTGTCATTACCTAAAATTGAATTACACATTATTTGCAAATTCAAAGTGACAGGAAATCAGACGTTAAATTTGGATTAGGTCTGGCTAATATTTATAACTTTGGCCAATATTTTGTATTGCTGATAGCACTGAACATTCAGACAGATAGACAACAAACAAAACATCAGTGTAGACCAGGGCTTTTCAAAGTGTGGGGCCACCTCCCCTAGGGGGCGCCAGAGTTCTTCAGGGGCGGCGCGATTGTGGTGATGTGAGGTGTTAAAAAAAGCACAGATGTTTGAAATGTGTAAAAAAAATGTTTTTCTAAAAGTACAGATGTTTGAAATGTGTAAAAATGTTTTCAACAACCAATTTTTAAGTATGAATGGAACATTAAGTATAAAAAAAAAGGGGGGCAGTTGTTTATTTGCTCTCCGAGGGGGGGATGACTCTCCCACTATTTGAAAACCCCTGGTGTAGACCAATTATGTACTAATTAAATTAATCCAGATTTCAATATGCCAGCAGTGACATATGGAATACAATGCTAGGTAATTTAAAGATTTACTGCTGAGTTTGTGATGACTGGTTGTTAGGTAACATGGTTAGGTTCTGTTCCCCAGAGGTTAGATTTCTGGAGCTTAAGTTGTGATTTTGTGTAGCCTTATGTTGACTTCACTTAAAGGTCCAGTGTAAAATTTAGGTGAAAGGGATTTTTGAAATTTAAAATAATCCTAGTGATGTTTTCACTGGTGTTTCATCTAAATTGTATGAATTGTTGTTTTCTTTACCATAGAATGGGCCCTTTATATCTAAATACTTTATATTTACATGGAGGGGGGTCCTCTCTGTGGAGGCCGCCATGTTTTTTTCTTTCGTCCAAACTGGACAAAAAAAACGTTTTGGAGTTTTCATGACAACTGAAGTTCACCACAGGTTCTCTTTCATGTTGGGAAGGGGAGGGTGAGATGAGGAGTATTCAGCTGCAATATGCAACTTCGCCTCTAGATGTCACTAAATTCTACACATTGCACCTTTAAATGGAGGTTACACTAACTGATGGTGATGTTGTATTTCATGTTGTACAGGTTGCAGTGCTTGGTTGTAAGGCTGTATTGACTGATAGAGGGGGTTGATCACTAGTGGTGATCACACTGAAAGGAAGCAAGATTGTATTGACTGGTGATGTCATATTGATCGTTGAATGTGATGTTGAATTGGCTTGATATTGTAGTTGGGTTGACTAGTAGAAATGTGCATCGGTGATGTTCACTAGAAAGGTTGACATACTTTTTGCGTACATTGTAGGTTTTCCTTTTTTCCCATTTGTTTTCTAATTTACATTTAAAATCAAAGATCAATTTCATAAACTACTAAGGGTCTGAGCACAGATCTGGGCTGAAGGTACAGGGAGCTTATTGTTTTTCGAGAGAAGATAATTATCATTATTATTTGTATTATTATTGTCATCATTATGCTAAAATTCACATACTTTGTGAGACACTTCAGATCAGGCTACTTAATTGCAACAGGAAATTATGTTTTTATCCCTCTATGTGGAATGACCAGTTCCATCTCAAATTTGGTCACGCACCACTATGAAACAGGATGTTGTGGGACAACTGATGCTCAAAAACTCATGAGACTTTGCACAGAAGGCACATTTGGAGTCTTATATGGGTCTGAACAAAGCATCAACTTCCTTAAAGGCATTCAAAAGTGACTTTCTCCTCCTTGTACATTCTCATTCTTACATGCATTGGTGATGTGAGGTGTTTATGCATGTATTTGTCTACATTTGGTTAAGGCATACTGTATGTCAGGATGCTCATTACAAGCTGGCTTTGCTGTGTTTAAGACAGTGTTTTATAATGGAACTACGCTGCACCCTCCTTTCATACAAGAGACAGTTGTATCAGCAGATTTTTGCTAATTTACATTATTTCTATGTGGATCTAAAGCAAATAAACATATTTAGATTGAAGCCCGATCAATATGGATTTTTGGGGGCTGATTCCAATACAAGCAAAGTTTAATTTTCACCTTAATTATTAATAACAATAAATAATAGAAAACACAGATCAAATTAATTAAATACAACTTTAAACTTTTATGTAAAATGTGAACTTGAAGGCACATCTTTTCTGCTTCGTTTGTCTGTGATAGATTGATATTGGTTAACCGATAAATCAGGTGGCCTCTAACGGAGATGTTTTATCTTAAGATTATAATGCTATTTAATGTTATTAAAATGTATCAGTAACATATAATGCTTCCAAAGCACATCACATGACAAAGTTCAGATACAAGTGCAAACTCAAAAATTTCAGATTGCATACATCATAGCAACCTAATAACAGCAAAGTTTCCTGATTTAAAATCTTGACCCTTCATGTCTGTTTGCGTTACCTGGTGTTGTTTCATTTTGGGTTGATGCTCCCAATAGCCCTGCAGGGAAAATGTCACAAATATGTATATTGATTATATCCAATCCAAAGTAATTATGTATTATGAATTAAAGAGGTAAACACAAACACACTCACACACACACACACACACACACATGCACAGAGAGAGAGAGAAGAGAAGCACTCGTGACTAAATGAACACATACCTGCAAGTAGAAGGAGTATTAGAGGATCCATCCTCGCAGTTTCTTGTGGTTTCCTGCGAGACAAAATGTATTATAATACATTTGAATACACTTTAGAATGCAGGGAAAACTGCTGTTATTCTAAAAATAACCTTTGCACTTTATTTATATATCGATGAGGTTAGTGAACGTGAGCGACCATGCAGATTTGATCCAATCCCTCTAAAATGCAGTTTCAACCGACTCCAAATGTTATCATCTTTGATAGGATTTATTGCAGGACTAGGATTAGACCAGGGGTCACCAACATGGTGCCCTGAGGACCACATGAGTTGCCCGCAGGCCTGTTCTAAAAATAACACAACTCACCAGTGAGCTGCGTCTAAAATTTGATATGCGTTTCTAATTAAATGTAATTATTTACTTTTTATACTGTCAAATTTTTATTCTCATATT